TACTCCCCCCCTCCCACGCCCCTCCTGCTTAACGATTCTAAATTTTTACCCTTTTTTAATTCCCGACGTTTCGGACACTTTCCAGCACTCATTGTCACCGAGAGGGAGGACTCAGGTGTTTGACGTCCCGATATCATTAGCTAACGAAGGCAGAACGAGCTAACAGTATCTTAAAATCCTGCAAGTCTTTAATTAATCAATAAAATTAAATCTAAATCCAAGCATACTATACTGTTGCTTATATAATATAACAGAACGCATAGGGTTCCAATTAACATTTCAATCAAACTCAGGTTTAAAACTGTGCTTTCAACCAACACTACAAATAAATACAGATCAAATTCACTTGCACTCTCATAAGACTTAGCTCAAAAAAAGAACCAGCGATCTATGATAGAATATGACATAATAATTCATTCAATTCTTTTCATGTGACCTGTATAATACAACGGTTTAGAGCCCAGTAATACTGTAATGGAGGGCAGCAATACTAGTTGACTTCTCCATATCAAAACAAAGAAAGGACTACAACATACTTTTACTAGAGAGCGACGAAAAGTAAATCAAGGTAGACCCTGAAATGTTATAATTACACTTATAATAAATATTTAAAATATTAAAATTTCTACTTAACAATGGCAGGTATTTTTGTCTCTCTTTAGAGAATAACTAAGATTTTGATTAAACATCTTTTTTAATGTCCATGGTTTATCATATGTGACTCCAGCGCTGCTCCCCAAACTACTTATAACTTCTTTGTTAATTATAAGCAAATCTTTCAACCATGCGCACATCTCTAAAATGCTTGAAGTCCTAGAATAACGAAAGTATGACTACTCTGTAGTGTGGCTCACGGTATCCACTAAGGTAACACTTATTATAAATTTAACCCTTTCCCTGTTTCATGAATGATATAGGTATGAACATTTCAATTGTTTAACTATTGTGTCTAATTCGCGGACTGGGAGCCTGTAAAGTCAGTAATAAACAGGACTTGTAACATAAAGGCTGTCCCGTTTAATGACGTAATTACATGGCGGCCCTGCCAGGATGTACCTATGCTCGAGAGTGACAAGAATGGTTTTAAACAAAATTAATGTCACCATCTATAAGCCTCTTATTAAAAGTCTTCACTGAGTCCATAGGCAACTGCGTCGTAAATTGACCTTGACAATCATGATTATTTAGAGCATCGCTGAAATTATAATTCAAAATGTCGACTGAAATACGTTTCAAATATGTGGAAACTAACTAAACAAGCTAAGTGATGAATAAGTGATGAAATCTTCTTCCAGAAATGTCAGGAGGCAGGGACTCAATAGTAAGCAAAGTTTGTCATACTGGTGTACTACATAAAAAAGTTAAAGTTACAGCCTAAATACGTTCCACTGCTGGGCACAGGCCTCCGCTCATTTCTAAGAGGGTTTTGGGGCAAGGATTTGTCCGCCGCGCTGCCCCAATGTGCTGCGTGTTGGCGAACTTAACATGTCTTCAAAATATTTTTTTTCTTATTTCTCAGACATGCACGTTTCCTCACGATGTTTTCCTTCACCGCCGAGCATTTGAAGATGGTTAGTGCTCGCTGTAAATTAAACACGTTTTTATAACCGAATCAAAATAATAATATGCACTCGAAATGCGTCTGAAACCAACACCTAAACGCTGATATTTGGTAGTTTCGCAAAATGTAATTAATTATTAAATGTAATATAAATAGCGGAGGCATGTTGCGAGTTTTGATTTAACCTCGGAGCGGCCTTTTATAATGATTCGTTAAAAGTCAGTGCATCAAGGTTCTCAAAAGTTGTTTTAATGATTTTGTGACACGTAACATAAAGATTAGGGTTCAGTTCTTGAACTCGAACGAATATTTATTTAAAAATAATAAAATAGCAAATAAATTTATAAGCTATTCTATTATTGCTTAAATATCCCGAATTAACAATGGAGAATATAAACTAATGCCAAGACATATAGTGTCATTAAGACAACGTATATTACAATTGACAAGACGTTTGTACAGACAGTCACCCCATTCTACAATTATTTTAGAAACAGCTTGGAAGCGATCACCTTCCTACGCCACTTTTATGTCCCTACCCGAAGGAATAAGATAATAAGTATGAGAAAAGTTGGAGATACACGCAAAGGGTGTGAAACTTTATCGTTAGCAAATTTAGTTTAGAGTACTGGATCACCGTGCCTAAAAGCTTTGTACTCAAATTGTTGAGCTATCAAACACCTTCATCATTAATGGATAATAATCCGCAGTTGGATATTGGCCTCTCTCTGCATTTTTAAGATCGAAGGTCGACTTTGATTTTAACAAGTCACCTGCTGTTTACGGCATGCCGGCGGCGGTGTGGATTCGGCAAACCTGTTAAGGGATTGGAAAGGTTTTGACCCTCAGCCTCAAAGGCTGTTAATAATGATGATGGTAAGGTATCTGCCACGTGTTATTTCTCATGACACTTCGAGTAATATACGTTAATATACTACAGAAATATTACTACAGAACCAATCTATATAATTAAAATAGAGCTTGTATAAAGTAAGAAATATTAAGTACGAGTTTATACAAGCGCATGTCTTAGCCTTGTCCTACTGTGTAGATTATTAAAAAATACAGAATACTGTATTATTATGGTCAGTTTTTTTGAAATATACAATTGATTTGAATGTGTTACGCATAAAATAAGGTTTGTGAACTTTCAGTTTATTTTAAAAGTTGCCTGTTATTCCTTTCGATACGAACCCAATTTTGTTACAAATGTAATCATACAGTCTCTAATTAAGGGATATAGAACAGTCTTATTTCGTTTGTGCAATAGAACATAATATTATTTGAATATTTTCAAAATACATTAAAAAAATCGATTTTAATGCTTTGAGAAAAAAAAACATGTAACACAATGCAATAAGCAAGGAAATGTGATTGTATTTGTATGCAACCAAAGTAATGGCTTATGCAACTCAGTTGTGCGAATAAAGTGAGGTGAATCATCAAGGTGGCTTTAACAGGCGTAATAATTATGTTACATCCCTCAATATTTTAATAATAGAGTAGCAAAATGTTAATGTATATGTTATTAAATAGAGAAATTATACCATTTAAGATATAGTGTACCTATAATAGTGTGTATATTATTTTACCTGCCATATTGCCATTACGGCAGGTAAAATAAAGTGAACATACACACGTGATTTTTCTATATGGCTAAATGAGCCTCTTTGAATTCCCGGCACGGGAAAATATTACAAAAAGAAAGTTATGCAAACAAATACCTACTTAGCGTTGTTTCCACACAGTTGATCTAATATCGACCACAAGTGATATTTTGGCTCTGGCAACTAACTTACAACGTAGATTTTAAAAAAACGGAATGCGCAAGCCACGTTAATAGAAAAATAGGTGAAACCTTATTTCATCGTTATGACTAAATGTCATAACGATGAAACTAGGTTTCAAAAAATAAAAATATAGTATATTTTTAGTCTACCAGTCTCTATATGCGAAAACTAATCCTAAACTTAACACTAATAAATATTATTGTGGGAGCTTAGTACACCACAGTGGCTCTGAAGCTAAGGAACTTAATTAGAAATAAGTAAAATTTAAACACTAGACTATCAAGCCACGTTGTGTAATAAGACGAATTGAGACCAAACAAAATCTTTTTAACAAGTTTGGTCTATTGGTCCACGTATTATTTTGTACCATTACCATTTTTCTGTGATTATTGACTATTGCTATTGACTTAAATCTATATAAATAAAACTCAATTACCGCATGTATGAAACATCAGCATTTGAGAACGGTTAGACCGATTTTGATAACAAAATTGTGTGTGTTTGAGTAGGTCCACATATACAATAAGACCCCGTAGGTGGCGCTATTGTCGAGATCAATAAATCAGCTGTGCGAAGCCAGGGCGGATCGCTAGCAAACAAAACAATATTACTCATGGCATGTTATCGCGTCGTGTCGCATTATATATATTATATGACGTAGACCCACGCTGCAGCTATATTATGGTTATAGCACGAATGGGTCGGCTCGACCGAGGAAGGAACACGCTCTCGCAGAATACCAGCGTAAAATAGCAGCTTAATGCTACTGTGTTTCGTACGGTGTGTGGTGAGATCCGGAAACTCTTTTTTACTGGAAACGAGGTATTCAATAATTCAATTCGAACAAATTCAATTCAATATAACAACGCATCTGCGTTTTGATTCTTAATTAAGGATAAATGTAGATGTCTATGGGCCACAGCATCTACTGACCATTATTAGTACCTGGATGACCGAGCCTTGCTCGGTATTTCTTTTTTTTTTTGGAAATCGTGTGTTTTGGAAGTTATGTTTAGACTCAAATTACATACTGATGAAATATGAATAATATTTTTTGATCTTACCGACATAATAGAAAAAACTGAACTGGTTATTTGAATAAAAACTCATGAGTGCAATTAGTTTAATTAATAATAAATTTTCGTGTTTTTAAGAAAATACTAAAAAAGGACTCAAAATAATAGTTTTTCTTACAAAAGAAGGGAACTTGAAAAAAGAAGGAAAAAAATTCGGACCGAAGACAGGACTCGAACTAGGGTACTACGATTTCAGGACGGCACGATATGCCATTTGAGCTATTATAAACATTAACGCATTGTCAAAATTTACCTTCTTATATTGTAGCAGTTTTTCATTGCCTGAAAACAGGGACAAAACGACATTTTCTGAAATGAATCCTAGCTAGATCGATTTGTTGCCCCCGAAACCCCCTGGACACTAAATTTTATGAAAATCGTTGGAGCCCTTTCCGAGATTCCGATTATATATACCGGGTCCGGCAATTGAACTGTCCGTCTCGACCTAACTGTTTTAAAATTCGAACCACTGAATCGAACGCCGCCAAAATTTAAAATGTTGTTCTTTGACATATTTTCTTTCATGGTTTGATGTGATTTTGTTGTGAGATAAAACATTCTTAATTTAAAACGATGGATTTAAAACGTAATTCTTTGATTGCTCTGTATTTGGAAGGAAAATCGAATATCGAAATTCGTCGTGCGCTGCCAAATCTTAAACTAAATGAGAAATTTGTACATCGCACTATCAAACGATATTCTGAGACTGATAGCATTAAGAAACGCTATGATGGAGGACGGTGTTGTACTGCAACGGCACCAGCAGTCGTCGAAAAGGTACGTCGCCGATTGGACAGAAATCCAGCGCGCTCAGCAAATCAGCTCGCGCAGGATTTAAACGTGAGCGACCATAGTATGCGTCGTATATTGAAAGAAAAGCTTAAGGTCAAACCATTGAAAAAAAAAACATTTATCAGGAACTCACAGCTTTGCAACGCAGTAAACGGTTAGAGCGATCAAAAGAGCTGATTCGCTTGCTCGACTCTGGCGAGCTTCCCAATTTGGTGTTTTCGGATGAGAAAACTTTCTGCGTTGAGCAGTTTCTTAACAAACAAAATGACCGTGTATGGTTGAAGAGACGGGTCAGCGACCATGCGGACGAACTGCAAGTCACTCGACGTCAAGGAGCCGATTAAATCACGGTCTGGGCGGCGGTGTCCGAAAAAGGCCGTTCACCGCTCGTTTTTCTCCCAATGGGTCGCAACCAAGTCAAAATAAATCAGCAAATCTATCGAGACAAAGTCTTAATACCTGGGCTGATACCGTGGGCACGTAACACGTTCAGTTCTGAGCGTTGGACTTCCCAGCAAGACTCGGCACCATCGCACAGAGCAATTGGAACGCAAAATTGGTTGAAAGCGAACGTTCCAGTGCTGATCGACCGAGATATGTAGCCGTCGTCATCACCCGACTTGAATCCGCTAGACTTTTGTATTTGGGGTGTTTTACAGGCCAAGGCTTGTGCTTACGCGAGAATGGAATTGTTTAAGTGATGACGTCGTTCGAGCAGCGTGCGCTTCGTTCAGGAAGAGACTCAAGCTTGTAGTAAAGGCTAAAGGCGGTTTTATTCCATCGGACTAAGCCATAACATAACTTTGAACCATCTATTGTCACATGTAAAAAGCGTATAAATAAATATTGAAAACTAACAAAAATAATTCATTTTCCTATACGGACAGTTCAATCGCCGGACCCGGTATATACTAAGAATTGCTCGTTTAAAGGTATTGGATTAAATTTCGCAATAAAATATTATCGTGAGCCCAGCGAAGCGAGCAGGTATCAGCTAGTGTTTATTATGCTCGATATTGACTCATAACAAACGTATTACTTTGTTGCATTAAGATCCTACTGACTACCGACCGATGAAGAACCGCACATAGGCTATCTGATGGTGAGTGAAGGATATCCCCCATAGATACCTATATCTGTATTTTAATCCGTAATCATTGATTAAGGATCAAAATACAGATGCGTTGTCACTCTCGAGAATGCAATGGAAGTCCTTATTATCATACGAAACAAAGCAGTATTATGCAAATTTACGCTGGTATTCTGTGAGAGTAAGGTCCTTTCCCGTTCGAGCTAACCGACTCGTGCTGCAGTCACAATAATAATGTGCTCCAGACCGAATTTCGATCACAGCCGAGCAGACTGGGTTTTAGTGCGTGCTCAAGCACAGGTGCATTCTCACATAGTCCGATGTGACGGCGATCTAACACGAATGAGACCAGGCACAGGGCCAACGTCTACGTGCTTTTTAGGTACAGGGCTAAAACAACGCCAAATTCCTGACTCCGGTCTGAGAACCTAAAAATTGATATTGGGACCCGACATTTGAACCCGGGACCTCTAATAAAAAATATAAGAATGAGCTACCCTCTCCGCATTTCTGCACTGCATTTCCTAAATTTAAGTATTTTTACAGTCTATATCTTAACGAACTAAGTAGATCGAATAAACTTAAATCTAGCCATAGTATACAAGAAACCTACTTTTCAAGTCTACGTATGAAAGCGGCGAAATAAATAATTTGTAAATTATACGATTAAAATATGTTTGTATGTCAATGCGAAGCGGGTTAACCGTATAGTATTTTAGAAAAGCATACGCAAAAATTAATTTCATGTTTTATCCGTAACTATGTTTTTATCTATACATATATATTATATATAGGTATTTATTATATATAGGTATATATATATATGATGTGAAGGAAAAATAAAATGGATAAAAAATATGGATATGGGGACGTATATAGCTGTACTTTATTTACTTTATATATTATAAAGATTACCGTTATTTCAGTTCATTTGTAATTTATCGCCAATTTGGCCGATAAACTGTCTAGGGTGTCACGTGCTCTCACTTTTGCAGCGTATATTTGCTTTGTAACACTTCCCCCGTTCATTATTTCTACGTGTCCAAATTCGCTGTCAATGCTGGTAATTTTTTTGCAAATTACACTTTCCTCTTATCACAAAATTTCCAACATTCAACGTTACACCTAACATGGTTCTCAATGACCGCATTTCTGCGTCATTAATTTTACTCTCAAAATTTTTCTGCCACATCCAACTGAGCATTATATATATTTTGATTTTTTACTTTCATTTTACCACGTTTTTAGTCACTTTGTTGTTGGTCTGTCTGTCTGTCGTTCCAGATGGAATCTTGCGCACTTCCTGATGGGACTTGGAATTTTGAACATAGTTCAGAATCAGATGACAATGTAGGAATATGAATACGAAAAAATTTGGTATATTAAATTAATTTTTTTCATAAATCATTTTTTCAAACCAAAGTCAATGCACCAAATTATTTCTTTTTTTAATAAATTTAAATGCAATCCGTTTAAATTTATTCTTAATTTTTAGCCGAATTCAAAAAAGGAGGAGGTTCACAACTTGACTGCACATCCTTTTTTGTATGTATGTTATGTTACACATATCTTCGTCAATTATGAACTGACTTTAATGTTTTTTATTCATTAAGTTATATTTAGGGGTGGTATAAATTTTCAATAAAATACCAACCCTTAGGGAGGAAAAATAGGGGATGAAGTTTTTAATGCAAATATCAACTAAACAAGACGCATATTAATAAATGTTGGATGGATTGTCACAATGGCTACGGCAGTAAATTTGTATTTCTAGACTGAACGTTCTTTATTTGTATTTTCATCAATATCGTCATCTTCACAAGCTTGATATAGGGCTTTCCAACAGTTTGCTAGCTGCCATGCGTTACTTCGAATAATCGTCCGTACTAAAAGTTAAAGCTGATTCTCACACTACCTATTATTGTTGCGCCTCATTCACACTGTGCAATTTGGTTCAGATCGTCTACCATTATTCGGTCACATATGCAATACACTCGCGAGTAAACTTTTTGTAGTTATATTTTGTATTTGATCTTGCTATCAACTACTTTAAATTATTGAATTAAAGCCTTTAAATATAATATATATATATATATATATATATATATATATATATATATATATTTATATATATATATAAAAATACTTCAATATTACAAAACTAATTTAGAAATTAATTAAAATCGTTTGGGTATAAAGGAAGCATGAATTCAGTTGGAAAATATTGTATGTGTAAACATTTATACATAAAACTAACTTTAAGTAAAAACCCTTAATAATAAACTTTACGGAACCGTCAGATTTATAAATTATCTACTACCATGAAATTAATTTGTATAGATAAAACATGGAAATTTCAGAGGAAAACTTGTTCGAAGCTCTTGTTTCAGAGAGACATATTCAATAACACTAGCCAAAATTAAAGATGTAACTTAAACCGGCCGACGAACGGTCCGTATCCCCTAACTTAACAATGTTTTTTCAACAGTCATTTACTTAAAAAAAATCTCTTTGAATTAATGAAAAAAAATGGTCCCTTATAATATATAATTATGTACCGCAATGAGAAATGTAAGTAGGGTATGAACGTACCACATGTAACGGGTTAGTGTAAATAATATAAACAAAAGGTATTTACTTTCTGGTGTAGCACTCATCCGCAAGAGAGCGGGCACTCTGCCTGGACACATGGAGAGCAAATCGGACACCAATGAACGCCAGGATCACCAACATAGTAGACGCTTTACACTTGCACAGTTACACTCAATGGAAAAGGACCACTCGAGGACACAAGTTTGCCACTTGCTTTTGACGTAGCAGTATCTTGGTACTTCTGTTTGTATAATCAACACAACGTCCACTCTTATCAGTATGAGGATGAACACTTGGTTTCTAAAAAAGACTGAATTCAAGAATATTCAAAGGAAGTTTACATTTTCCAGTTCTAAATCTGGTAATACCTGACACTATAACAAGTAAATCCACTAACTATTTAATAGACTATATAATTAAATGTTTGTAAACAAACAGCTTAACGAAGATTAGGAAGGGTCTGATTATTATTAAATAGTTTAATAATAACTGTGAAAATTAAGAAGAAGAATCGTAAAAGCTAATAGTTAAGTCTATAATGGCAGTCTAATCGAAACTCCCTCGGGTACAACAATCCTTGCAGCCTTCTAACCCGTAAGTCGGAAGTAAGGAAACGGCGGAAGTACGAGGCGTTCGATAGCGAAAGTGCGGGCGATCCGAGCGGGTTACGGTATAAGACTGCTGACAGCACTGGCCAAACGTCCGCTCTTGCTTCTAAGACGCAGCGATTCCGCCCGTTCACGTAATCCGAAGACAAGGTTTTTTATTTAACTTATTTACATTAAAGCCGTGAATACGAGTTGACCTCGGTCATTTTTGCCTAATTCAAAAATACAAACCTTTGACAACTAGTTGATTGTTTTTTTTATATATGTTACACTTCTCGTAACTATCATAATTAATCTTAAATATGCTTAATTAAATTATTAAGTACCTATACATAAAAAACTTAAATTATTTCTTGGCATGTATATTGCAGAAGTGAACGGCAGAGTCGGGCCCTTGAAGAAAGTTCATCGACCAAATTGGCCATATATTGAAGATTGACTAGATTAAGAGTACCCTTAACCGACGCAGGTATGCTGTAAGTATATGGATGTAAAGGAGGCGAGAGAGGTGTGTCAGGATCGTACCAAATGAAATACTGTAGTATATAAAGTCGATGATGAGATTTTATTACAGCAGGCTGTCATCCGTCAATCGCCAATTTAATTTTTTTTAATGTAAGTATGTACCATATAACCATATAGAATATTAATCTCTTCCAAATTTTCCTTCCTTCCAAATAATCCTTTTAGGGTAATTATACATCGTAGCTTACATCCGCCTGCATAAATCTTAATTAACTAAAAATCACGTTCGTTTTCTATGTTAAAGTCATGCCTATTATATACTTAACAGGTCAGTAAGCAAAGTACTCTAAAAGATGAAATGAAATGAAATGCATGATTTTATTCAATATAGATTATTGCATAATAAGAAGAAGAACATATTTAATAGATCGTCCATTAGCTAATCAACATGACACAGCATGTTTACGTGGTAGAGCCACGCCACAGCTTATAGGGCTGTAGCACAAATGGGACGGCTTAAACTTCAGGGTATTTTATGTCTGGCGTAAACATGATGGCTATATCGCCTACCATCAGAGTCATAAGATCT